TCAAGGAAAAAGATCTTTGGGTGAGTGTAATACCGAGCACATCTGAGGCGCACATCAATCAGATAACTGCTGCAGTGTACGGACGTCTGGCAAACCTAAGAATAGCGTTCCGATACCTCAGTGTGGAATTGTTCAAGACTCTGTACACCATATACGTCAGGCCCATACTGGAATATGCAGCACCAGTTTGGAATCCACACTTGGTCAAGCACGTTAAGAAATTAGAGAAAGTGCTAAGATTTGCAACAAGACTAGTCCCAGAGCTAAGGAGATTGTTCTACGAAGAAAGGTTAAGGGAAATTGGCCTGAGGACACTGGAGGACAGAAGGGTCAAGGCAGATATGATAACGACATATAAAATACTGCGCGGAATAGACAAGGTGGACAAAGACAGGATGTTCCAGAGATGGGACACAGAAACAAGGGGTCACAATTGGAAGTTGAAGACTCGGATGAGTCAAAGGGATGTTAGAAGTATTTCTTCAGTCACAGAGTTGTCAGGCAGTGGAATAGCCTAGAAAGTGACGTAGTGGAGGCGGGAATAATACATAGTTTTAAGAGGAAGTTTGATAAAGCTCATGGAGTAGGGAGAGAGAGGACCCAGTAGCAATCAGTGAAGAGGCGGGGCCAGGAGCTATGAATCGACCCCTGCAACCACAAATAGGTGAGTACACACACACGCGCACGCATATACAACAGGCCTAGTGTCTAATCGACATGTGCCTAAGACAAAATGGTAACACACACACACACACACACACATGAAGGAAGGGATAGACTCAGAAGTGTCCCTGTTCGCAGATGATGTGAGGTTAATGAAGAGAATTAAATCTGATGAGGATCAGGCAGGACTACAAAGAGACCTGGATAGGCTGAACACATGGTCCAGCAACTGGCTTCTCGAATTCAACCTCGCTAAATGCAAAGTCATGAAGATTGGGAAAGGGCAAAGAAGACCGCAAACAGATTATAGGCTAGGTGGCTAAAGACTGCAAACCTTACTCAAGGAAAGAGATCTTGGGGTGAGCATAACACCAAGCACGTCTCCGGAAGCACACATAAACCAGGTAACTGCCGCAGCATATGGGCGCCTAGCAAACCTGAGAATAGCGTTCTGACACCTCAGTAAGGAATCATTCAAGACACTGTACACTGTGTACGTCAGGCCCATACTGGAGTGTGCAGCACCAGTTTGGAACCCACACCTGGTCAAGCACGTCAAGAAATTAGAGAAAGTGAAAAGGTTTGCAACAAGGTTAGTTCCGGAGCTCAGGGGAATGTTCTACGAAGAAAGGTTGAAGGAAATCGGCCTGACGACACTGGAGGACAGGAGGGTTAGGGGAGACATGATAACGACATACAAAATACTGCATGGAATAGATAAGGTGGACAGAGACAGGATGTTTCAGAGAGGGGACACAGAAACAAGGGGTCACAATTGGAAGCTGAAGACACAGACGAGTCAAAGGGATATTAGGAAGTATTTCTTCAGTCACAGAGTTATCAGGAAGTGGAATAGTCTAGCAAGTGATGCTGTGGAGGCAGGAACCATACATAATTATAAGACGAGGTATGATAAAGCTCAGGGAGCAGAGAGAGAGTGGACCTCGTAGCGATCAGTGAAGTGGCGGGGCCAGGAGCTGAGTCTCGACCCCTGCAACCACAATTAGGTGAACACACACACACACACAGAATGTTCCAGAGATGTGACACAGCAACAAGGGGACACAGTTGGAAGTTGAAGACACAGATGAATCACAGGGATGTTAGGAAGTATTTCTTCAGTCACAGAGTAGTCAGGCAGTCGAATAGTTTGGAAAGCGATGTAGTGAAGGCAGGATCCATTCATAGCTTTAAGCAGAGGCTTGATAAAGCTCATGGTTCAGGGAGTGACCCTGTAGCGGCCAGTGAGGAGGCGGGGCTAGGAGCTATGGATCGACCCCTGCAACTACAACTATTCGAGTACAACTAGGTGAGTACACACACACACACATTATATATATATATATATATATATATATATATATATATATATATATATATATATATATATATATATATATATATATATATATATATATATATAGGGGTGTTAATGTTGCAGTTTAAAAACTGTAGTGTAAAGCACCCTTCTGGCAAGACAGTGATGGAGTGAATGATGGTGAAAGTTTTCTTTTTCGGGCCACCCTGCCTTGGTGGGAATCGGCCAGTGTGATAATAAAATAAAAATAATATATATATATATATATATATATATATATATATATATACTGTCACCATGAACGAGTGATATTGATCAATAACAACACTGCGACTAGCCAAGGCCCGCCTCATGGTGAGCGGAAACACATGATGCTCTAACCCACAGGACCACGCAATCCTACAAGAATGACGCACCCAGCCACGCTAGGTGTTTTATCGTCATCTGAGGACATACGGTGGTGTGGGTGTCACTGAACTAATTAACTTATTTCATTCTAGTCCCATTTTGGTGTACTAGCCCACTGCTCGTTGGGCTAGGGTTCGAGTCCTTGGCTAGTCGCAGTTTTGTTACTGATTATATATATATATATATATATATATATATATATATATATATATATATATATATATATATATATTTATTTATTTATTTATACACACACACATACCTTCGATGAGTTTCGAGTCTTTCTACTCCGGAAACCCGGTCATGGGCCAGGCTCGTCTGGTGTTTGCCTAGTCAACCAGGTTGTTGCTGCTGGTGGCCCTCTGCACCACATATCCATCACAGCCTGGTTGAGCAAAACGTCAAAAGCTGACGTTTTAAAATGAGAATAAACAACTAGCACCGTGTCTCGGCAAGCACCACAAGCACCGTGTTAATTAATTATATGATGGAACCTGATACGTTATCTACGTTATCTTATACTGTTTCTAATTCAATCTTAACTCGTACGAGTTTCATAGTTGACTTAACATATGCATGTTTCAAGTACATTTGTGTACACAATACACACTCAAACTTGCTGTCTGTTTCACATAATTTTTATCTTAGCCCACTCATGACGCCCGTCATTATCTATATGGTAACTGTAAATCTAGATTGCAGTTACTACGATATATCAATATATTACGTCTACTGTGCCACGCACATGTGTACGTATTCGTAAGTATATGTACGTAAGTATGTATGGGTGCAGTTGTCATCTCTTAAGTTAGTGTAATATACAGAAGTTTCGTCAAGAATACAGAACAGACAACATAAAGAGATGTAGATATGAGGTGATCAGCTCCTCAGTTTTAAAGATGTGTGAGGAGGTCAGTCCGTCAACTTGGGTGTGCATTCGACTCCACACCACACTGATGGAAGCTATGAACACACCAGGGATGAAGGACTGACCACTTTAAAATTACTTTGAGGTTGAGCAACTGATCACCTCATACCTACATCTTACGTTGTCTCTTCTGCATTTGTAATGACGAAGCTTGCTGAGCAGGTGAAACGTCTTCTCTATAAAGGTACCAAACTGTTGCGAACGTGTCTTTCTCATTTACTTGTACGTATTGTACACCATTAACATAATGACATTAGCCCTGCCTAACTTGGGTCAGCCTACATTTACTGGGTGTTGCTTGGTACAAATAGAGTATATTTCAAGATCTAGCTAGGTGTAGTTAGACTAGCATCAGTAGCCTATTGTTATAGGCTACATGTACATGTACGTGACTTTGTAAATGGTCCAAGTCGGACCGACACGTCGTGGAAAGTTTCTCTCTCCTATGTGCGCGTTATTTGTGTATTGCATGTACGTTGTTAGCTACGGTGTGTCATCCAAATTTTTCTACCTTTCCCCACACTTCTTTTTCTCCTCTGTCTTCTATGTTCAATCTGTTTCCCCCAGTTCTATGAGGCTGGAGATATCTTCATAAGAATTTCACTCTTCGCATCTACGTCACAGGCCGTCTTGAGTAATGGTTTAAGCAGAAACCTTGGAAGCCTCAATGAAATACCTGACAACATCCTCATTCCCCTACTGAAGTCTCCAGCTCAGGCCGACACCTTTCAAAATTGTATGAAACCCATTCTGTGATGAAATACACCAGGAAGCATAATTAAGCTGTTCCCATCATGTAACTATCAGAAAGAACAGTAACAGCACACTGGTAATGTATCCAATTTGTTTAAAAATCTTCCATGAGGCCAGATAACCTTCACGACTAACAGACGGGTCTGATATAAACAAATGCCCACAACATTATAAAACAATGAGTTACTAAGAGGAAATTTATTCTCTAGCAAGTCTTTACATACACATACCTGGAGTCTACCTCAACATTTTCCAGGTAGACTCCAGGTATACACACTGTCAATTAAGTAATGTGGTAGCTCACACACAGTGCATATCCTTGAGATGAGATACGAGGAATAAATAATAAGAACGAGTAAAATATCTAGTGGGTCTGTGCTAAGAATAACTCTGTGTTTGTGTCCCGCAGCTCGATCGCTAGCGGACTCAGCTCACGGACTGAGGTCCGGAGTTCGAATCTCTGGTACGGCTGGAAAACATTAGGGACGTGTTTCCATAAGACACCTGCTGTCCATGTTCACCCATCAGTATAAAATAGGTACCTGGGTGTTAGTGGACTGGTGAGGGTCGCATCCTGGGACAAAACTGACCTAATTTGCGGTAAATGCTCAGCCCAACAAGCGGCTTTCTATATAGTAGTATGTAATTGATGTCAGATATCGTCTGTATACCTTGTACAATACTTGTAAAAACAAAGATATTATTATTATTATTATAAGATGAGAATCTAACAAGTGATAAACATAGATTATTATTATTATAATCAAGGGGGAAGCACTAAACCCGTAGGATTATACAGCGCCTATGGGGGGATGGAAGGCATTCAGGCTTAATTCAGGGAACTGGAGCACAGATCCAATTCCCTAGATCAAGAGCCCCTCACCAGCGTCAAGGAGCCTTCCTTGAGGGGATAAACATAGAGCTTCTTACCTCGGGTCTGTTGTGAATGTCCACGTCCAGGGCGAACTGACACACCCTCATCTTCTTCTTTCTGATAACTGCAACAAACAAAGTCACTTCAATGGTAACAGGTTTAATACTCTTATATAATCTACTCACTAACCTCTATCTTATTAAAGTGTTAAATGCTTATAATCATAATTATAATTATAATTTTTAAAGGATAGAGGGGTAAGCTAGGGGAAGGTCTCGGTCAGATGCCCAAAAGCTCAAGCGGCGGGTCATGATATGACATGACAGAGACTCACGTCAGGAAACAATTGTCCTGTTTCCTGACCAATCTTACCTAAGCTAATTAACCTTTTCACTTCCATTTAATATCTATCTATCTATCTCTCTTCCAGAAATACAAGTTTGCAGCTTCGAATCCTGCTGTGGACTGAGAGATTATATGTATATGTATATGTGTATGTATATATATATATATATATATATATATATATATATATATATATATATATATATATATATATATATTATATGTGTGTGTGTGTGTGTGTGTGTGTGTGTGTGTGTGTGTGTGTGTGGTGTGTGTGTGTGTGTGTGTGTGTGTGTGTGTGTGTGTGTGTGTGTGTGTGTGTGTGTGTCGTGCCGAATATGTAAAACTGGTTAATTAGCAAGAACTCATTTAAAATTAAGTCCTTTCTGAAATTTTCTTTTATACGTTTAGAGATATATTTTTTCATTAATGTTAATGTAAAAATTTTTAATTTTGCATTAAAAGAATCTTAGAAAACAATTTATTTTAGCCTAACCCAACTAAATATATTTTAGATTTGTTTACAGTAATTTAATACTAAACAAACACAATCAAATATATTTTTTTAGCTAGGTTCAGAATGATTTTGGCGAAATTATTGCATACACAAATTTTCACTTGTCCTATATGGCAAGATGAGCGTTGCTATTTAAGCCAAGATAGCAAGTTCTGCCTATTCGGCACGACATATATATATATATATATATATATATATATATATATATATATATATATAAAGTGCCGAATAGGCAGAACTTGCTATCTTGGCTTAAATAGCAACGCTCATCTTGCCATATAGGACAAGTGAAAATTTGTGTATGCAATAATTTCGCCAAAATCATTTTGAACTTAACGAAAAATATATATTTCATTGTGTTTGTTTAGTATTAAATTATTGTAAACAAATCTAAAATATATTTAGTTGGGTTAGGCTAAAATAAATTGTTCTTGTTATAATAAGGTTAGGTAAGTTTTTTAAGATTCTTTTGGTGCAAAATTATATTTTTTTACATTAACTTTAATGAAAAAAATATATCTTTAAACATATAAGAGAAAATTTCAGAAAGGACTTAATTTTAAATGAGTTCTTGCTAATTGACCAGTTTTACATATTCGGCACTATATATATATATATATATATATATATATATATATATATATATATATATATATATATATATATATATATATATTCCAAGTAACCCTCGGTGTATATACACGGAGCTATACACCTCTTGCGTCTATATACTAGGATACATGCACTTTTCAGTGTATATATACACGTATCAATATGAATCCAAGATAAGCAGTAATGAACGACTGTCAGTCAATAAACAGAAATATGGACGGGGACTCGAACCGTGGTCCTGTCAGGTAGCTTTACCACTTAGCATCGTAGCTCAATGGTAGAGTGTTGGACCTGTTACCTGCCGTGACCACGGTTCGAACCCCTGTCCACCCCGTGTATTCACATATCACTGTATATATACTTTGGAAAATATACACCTCTCGGTGTAAATACACTGATATATGTTACCACTGTGGGATATAATATATATATATATATATATTATATATATATATATATATATATATATATATATATATATATATATATATATATATATATATATAGTATTGTATGTATGTATGTATAATTTGTCGCAGCCAGACCCCAGAGGTTTGGCTGTGACAAAAGTACTGTGTACTTTGATGCAGAGTGTGCAGGTTCGAATCCTGCGATGGACTGAGAGATAAGGCTTCCAGGCTAGTCCTGGGTTGCTTCACTGACATATGTGCTACGCATGTTAAGTACGCATCTATATACTTAACACACATACCAAAATCTAGCAGGTGTCCACACACACAAGCTCATCTCATTCACAAGTTTGCTCCAACCTAGAGCATCCTTAAGCCAGGACTACAACACCTGTCACTCACGTTGGTGTGTGTGTGTGTGTGTGTGTGTGTGTGTGTGACAGAGATGTTTATCATGACATACAGCAAGAGGTGTGTCAATCACCCAGCCACTCAGGCACACGTCACAGCCACACATCACAGCCACACACACACACACACACACACACACACACACACCATTGTTACTCAATCTTTAGTGGTGTACCCAGTGACGTAATGCACACCAGTGAGGTGCAGCCCACCTGACCTTCAATGGAAACTGTAGGTATTATCAGCGTTACCTTTAATATAACTTATACCTACATATATAATAATACTACTAAATACAACTAGTAATGATTCTTCTACTGCTGAACACCTTAAATAAAGTCAGGAGTTAAAATGAGCTGAGGTAGGGTAATAGCTCTTAGCTTTTAAATTTAATTTAAGAATGTGCTAGTGATCAACACGTCGTAGAAGTTGTACCTCATGGTCAAGACCTCCTAGAAGTAGCACCTCGTGGTCAAAACCTCGTAGAAGTTGTACCTCATGGTCAAGACCTCCTAGAAGTAGCACCTCGTGGTCAAAACCTCGTAGAAGTTGTACCACATGGTCAAGACCCCGTAGAAGTTGTACCTCGTGGTCAAGACCTTGTAGAAGTAGTACCTTGTGGTCAAGACCTCGCACTAGTACTTTGTGGTCAAGACCCCGTGGTAGTACCTCGTGGTTAAGACCTTGTAGTAGTAGTAGTACCTCGTGGTCAAGACCTCGTAGAAGTAGTACCTCGTGGTCAAGACCCCGTAGAAGTTGTACCTCGTGGTCAAGACCTTGTAGAAGTAGTACCTTGTGGTCAAGACCTCGCACTAGTACTTTGTGGTCAAGACCCCGTGGTAGTACCTCGTGGTTAAGACCTTGTAGTAGTAGTACCTCGTGGTCAAGACCTCGTAGAAGTAGTACCTCGTGGTCAAGACCCCGTAGAAGTTGTACCTCGTGGTCAAGACCCCGTAGAAGTTGTACCTCATGGTCAAGACCCCGTAGAAGTAGTACCTCGTGGTCAAGACCCCGTAGAAGTAGTACCTCGTGGTTAAGACCTTGTAGTAGTAGTACCTCGTGGTCAAGACCTCGTAGTAGTACCTAGTGGTCAAGATCTCGTAGTAGTACCGCGTGGTCAAGATCTCGTAGTAGTACCTCGTGGTCAAGATCTCGTAGCAGTACCTCGTGGTCAAGATCTCGTAGTAGTACCTCGTGGTCAAGATCTCGTAGTAGTACCTCGTGGTCAAGATCTCGTAGTAATACCTCGTGGTCAAGATCTCGTAGTAGTACCTCGTGGTCAAGACCTTGTACGGTATATGAAAAAAATGGTCGTAATCATAAGCATAATTTTGAAAGGGGTGGACCGGTTAGCCAGTGAAAGGCCTCGCTCAGATGACCAAAAACTCCAGCTGTGAGTCATCATATTGTACTGTTTCCTGACAAAGCTTACCTAACCTAACATACGGTATATATACTTCGCTAAGGCGAGGATGGAGTTACAGCCCATAAAATAACGTATACAGACATTGCAGGAATACTCATGACTCTAATAAACACAACACACAAAGTAGTAGTAAGCAAAGCAAAATCTAGCGTTAACAAAATAAAAAAAATCAGTAGCCTAAGGCACGGTCCTGGCGCCTATACTGTTTTTTATCGTCATAGGAGACAAAATAAAAACACTCGCCACAGCTTCATATCATCGTTTGCGAACGATACCAAAATAAACATGAAAGTCGACCACGGAGAAGATACGGTAAAAATGCAAGCAAATATCATGTCTTCCAGTGGGCCAAGGAAAATAACATGATAGTCCATGGTGACAAATTCCAATTGATCAGATATTAAGAAATGAACTGAAAAAAAAAGCACTGGATGCAAAACACGGTATGACCTTTTCTAAGAATGAAATTAACGTGCAAAATACTTAGGAATAATGATGTTAGATGACTTATCATTTAGAGAAAGCAATAAGGCAAATGGAGCAAAGGCCGGGAAAAATAACGGGAGAATAATAAGAACTTTCAAACGGAGAAATAATGCTAAAGATGGAGGCTATTCAAATTGTGTCCTAATGTTTAGAATATTAATTTTGACTTCCCAAAAATCATGAACCTAACATACTTCAAAGACCCATCATCTCAGGCAATGGCATTGCTCTCCACACGATCACTGGTTTACTTGCCAAGCACTTATCTAAATTACTAGATACTAACAGATAAGCATATCTGAAATAATCTGGGGCCCCTCATCTCACATATAAGCGACATTCACACTAAAAATAAAATTGTACCTAGCCGGTTTTGAGAGTACCTCACTGTTTGCGAATATACCCACCATGCAGGAGGCCAATAATGTGCTACAACAGAAAATCTCGAATAACATGAGTCCAGTTATTGGTAGTGTTTTGTGACACTCATGTGTTCATCCATGAGTGCTCTAGTGGCAAATTTATACATGGAACGCTTACAGGCTAAGTGTTGCCTAGTGTTCTAGATATGTAAATACATATTTCAGATATGTTTCTTTATATACTATCATTATACATGTACCAGGTTCCTGCAGCTACTAAGAATAAGTACTACTGATATTAATACAAGCACTACTACTACAACTTCTACTACTACCACTACTACAAACGCTGTTATTACTACAACCACCACATGCTACTACTACCACAGCAGCAATACAACATAAGCACAAGACAACTCACACTGCATGTGCCAGCATCGCCAGATAACATTGTTAAGACGTATCTTGTCCTTCCATATGAGCTTGAGACCCTTGAAGCGGTTCCACTTGGGTGAGGTGATCTTGTGCCTGCCACAACACAAACAAACACGAGTTAGCACACCAATGCTCTCACAATAACCTTACAAATTAATGTAGAATCTCCCAAGTAATAATTGCAACAGTAATAATAATAATAATAATAATAATATTGTAATAATAATAATAATATTGTAATAATAATAACAGTATAATAATAATAACAGTAATAATAATAATAATAACAGTAATAATAAATAATAATAATAATAATAATAATATTAATAATAATAATAATAAATTTAAGATGTAAACAGGTATAGGTTATAGAGAGATCTGCCAAGGAGTCAATGCAGCTAACAACTTTGGAAATTTTAAAAATAGGCCTAAGTAAAACAGTCTGGCTTTGCTTGCCTGTGATATACCTGTGAACGGTTTCCAGAGTTTTCCATGCTAGGCAGATCCTATTGGTCCATGCTAGGCAGATCCTACTAGCCCATGCTAGGGAGATCCTACTAGCCCATGCTAGGCAGATCCTATTGGTCCATGTTAGGCAGATCCCACTAGCCCATGCTAGGCAGATCCTACTAGCACATGCTAGGCAGATCCTACTAGCCCATGCTAGGCAGATCCTACTAGCCCATGCTAGACAGATCTTATTAGCCCATGCTAGGCAGATCCTATTGGTCCATGTTAGGCAGATCCTACTAGCCCATCCTAGGCAGATCCTACCAACCCATGGTAGGCTCTGATCCTACTAGCCCATGCTAGGCAGATCCTACTAGCCCATGCTACGCAGATCCTACCACCCCATGCTAGGCAGATCATACAAGCTCATACTAAACAAGTCGAAATAAGCTAGGATAGGTTACGTTATGTTACTCAGTTTTGTGTAATGTCAAATATTGTTAATGATGTATAGTTCCGATAAATTAATAGAGACAAGTGAGACACGGGTATAAGCTACACAGGTGTTACACATGTCTCATTCATCAACAGGATCTTGTTATAACTCCCGTTCCAGGTGTATTTAATTGTATTTTATAGAGGAAAGACATCGAAGAAGAAAAGAATGGGAAGAGGTATGTGAGGAAGGGACGGGGAGAAGAGAAACGAGGGCGAGACGAGAAGAGGGAGAAAGAAAACGAAAATAATTGTAAGACTGACACAGCACTAGGCTCAAAGGATCACTGAGCCCGGCATAGGTGGAAACGTTGGGCATGTTTCGTTACACCTGCTGCCCCTGTTTACCTAGCAGTAAGTAGGTACTTGGGTATTAGTAGACTTGTGGGTGGCATCCTGGGGGATGGTAGGAAATCTTAGTGCTGGTCTTTGAAATAAGCTGAGGTAGGATAACATCTTAGCCTGTAAAACTGATGTGTAAAAAAAATACAAATATACACACTGACTGAGTTTATCTCAACATAAACAACTTATGACGAGTGTAACCAGATGACGTATTTAGTAGAACAGGTTAAAAAATTAGGTTAGGTTTCTAAGTTAATTTTGGTCCACAATAATTTTACACAATATTTTTAATAAAAAATATCTATCAATATGCAAAAGAAAATTTCAGAAATGTCTAATTTTTTGTAAGGGAGTTCGGCTTTAATTGATGAAGTTCAGCTTATTAGGCACGACATTAGATCGATCCAGTACCACTGAGCTGGCAACAATAGTCTTTGTACGTTATATTTCAATGCATGTCTCCTCAAAGTGGGAAATTCATCATTGCTTATGTAACGTTTATAGAACTTAAGCAGTGGGAGGTTGTTGTACTTAGCTTTCAGCTCATCATTGCTTTGCAGCTGAATGATTTTGTGTTGTAGGTTATCAGGCACGTCAGCTGGTTCCACATTGAACGGTGTAGCAGATGTTCAATTCCATTTTACTTTTCACGTCCTTAAATCTCTCATTAAATGCCTCTTTTAGTTTCGCACATTCACCAGCGTATTCAAGTGTCGTAGAAGGATTCTGTCCTTTCAGAGTAGGGAAATGCATCCTGTTATTCCTTTCGAGTTGCACTTTTCACAGACTTGGCAGGGCCACACTAGATGATTTCGCAGGCCTTACACAGCCCCCGGGCCGGACGCTCGCCACTCCTGCTCTATGCCATTAGAGACGCATCTTCCCTCTGCAGTAATGAAAGTTCAATGGAGTTTATTCTCTTTCTAGTTGTATTTCATTTTCATTCTTTATTCTTTTCTTTTTATCTTAATTTCATGTTTTACATATGTTTAGATCTGATTCTTATAGTTAATTTTCTTTCATTTTATACAGTGCCTGATGATGGAGTCAGTTAACGCCGGCGAAACTAGTCGTAAATTAATGATATTTACACATCGGCCGTCTCCCAAGAGTCAGCTGCTTAACAAGCTGCAAGCCTTATCCAGCAACGGGTTCTTGAAGTTCAACCCCACGAAGTGCAAAGTCAAGAAGAAGACCGACAGAGCACAGGCTAGGAAGCCAAAGATTGAAACCTCACTCAAGGAAAAGGATCTTGGGGTGAGTATAATACCAAGCACATCTGAGGAGCATTTCAACCAAATAACTACTGCAGATTATGGGCGCCTGGCAAACCTAAGAATTGCGCTTCGACACCTTATTAAGGAATCGTTCAACATACTGTACACCGTGTACGTCAGGCCCATATTGGGGTATGTAGCACCAGTTTGGAACCCACACCTGGTGAAGCACGTCAAGAAATTAGAGAAAGTGCAAAGGTTTTGCAACAAGACTAGTCCCGGAGCTAAGGGGTATGTCCTACGATGAGAGGTTAAGGGAAATCGACCTGACGACACTGGAGGACAGGAGAGACATGATAACGACATATACTGAGAGGAATTGAAAAGGTGGATAGTGACAGGATGCTTCAGCGATGGGACACAGCAACAATGGGGTCACAACTGGAAGTTGAAGATTCAGATGAATCAAAGGGATGTTAAGAAATATTTCTTCAGTCACAGGGTTGTTAGGAAGTGGAACAATCTGGAGAGTGAGGTAGTCGAGGCAGGATCCAGACATCGCTTTAAGAGAGATACGATAAAGTTCATGGAGCAGGGAGATAGTGGACCTAACAGCGATCAGCGAAAAAGCGGGGCCAGCAGCTATGAATCGACCCCTGCAACCACAATTAGGTGTGTACACACACGCGCGCACACACATATATCACATACATATATTCGTACATGCATACATAAAGATATGAACTCATGTTAGTCATTCAATACCAGGAGTGTCCGTGCGTGTTCATAAGACAAAAAAAAACTCACATTGGTCCAGTATAGGACCACTGTTACATTGGTCCAGTATAGGACCACTGCTGCACTGGTCCGGTACAATACCACTGCTGCACTGGTCCAGTATAGGACCACTGTTGCACTGGTCCAGTACAGGACCACCATCATCGCACCCTCGCCAGAGTGAGGCACACGGAAAGACTTCTTAGACTCTTGATTTTCTCCCCTGACGAATAAATCATGGAAAGAGTGTGAAGGTTGTGGTTCAAGAATGTTTTTGAAGCTGTTATGACGTAAAACTTGTAGAATGGTATGATCTGCGATCAATCAGACTTGGGACCGGTCAATCAGAGTATGGACTGGTCAGTGAAAATGACGAAGGGTCGGGGGAACCTGGTGTGCAGCATAATACACAAATAACCCACACATAGGAGAGATACAGGTGGCATGTAGATTCACTACGTTTCTTATCGTGCTTCTTCTGTTAAGAAAAATGTTCTTATCTCCCTCTTTCTCCGTGCCCTCCGTATCTGTCATCCTCAGTTCTTTGAATCAGAAATCTGCACTCTTTGTAATTCATTTTCCCGTCTTGGCTACCCTTCCCATTTCATACTCTGCCTTCTCACGTGCTGACGGACTTTCTTCTCTCCCAAACTCTACTCCTAGGAACTCTCATGTCCTCTGCCTTCCCTATATTTCCGGTCTTTCTAATCTCAGCAACTCTCTCCGTTCTTTAGACATTAAACTTACTTGTCGCCAGACTCAGACTAACACTCTTTGCAACAATTTAGTTCATACATCTCCTCCCTTTATAAATTCTCCCGGTGTCTACTCTATTTCTTGGCCATCTTGTCCTCTTCAGTACTTTGGAGAAACTCGACGTTCTCTTTCTGACAGACTCAGGGAGCACAAAAGTAGTGTTAGGCTTGCCGACGCCAACAATGCTCTTTTCTGTCATGTCAGAGATCACAGTCATCTTACTGACTGGTCTTCTGCTAAAACTGTCTACCCTACTTCTAACTTTCACAGTCGCCGTCTGGTTGAATCCTCCCTAATACACAACTTTCCTTCCATGAATCTTAGTCGTGGCTGTGTCTCTGTAGATGCCTTCCTTTCCCGTTACATTGTAAAATGCTCCAAACTTCAAAACACCCGTGACTTAACCTGATTCTTGTTTCCCCCTTTTCCCTCTTCCTCTTTCCTCTTTCTCCTTTGGGTTTTCTTTCTTCTGCCTTGTGTATTTGGTCCATTATTATTATTATTATTTTCCCCCCTCTGTGTTCTTGTTCCTACCCTTTGTGGGCCTCTAGTTCTCTTGCAGTGCTCCTCTTTCTCAGTCTTTGACCGACTCTACTACTACTACTACCTCCACCACTACTTTTCTTCTTCCTCTACTACCTCTCGTCCTGTCCTTGTCTTCCGGCCTATATATACTCCCTCCTTCTCTCCTTTCTGTTAATGGTCCAAGTCGGATCGCAACGTCGTCGTCAGCTCCTCCTCCTCCTTCCTCTCTCCTATGTGCGGGTTATTTGTGTATTGTTCCAGTCACGGTATTATGCCTTTTTGTTATTTTGCAGCATAATAGCTACGTGTGTAATATTTACATCCGCCCACTTGATCAATGTACAAAATTGACTTTCAGAAAACTAACTTATAGAAAGGGTTGAAACTTTTAATGCATACATGACGTGTAAACTGACAGAAATATCTCATGTACAATCATCTCGTCAGTGTGTGGACTGGTCAGTGAGACTGAGGAAGGTTGGAGGGGGAGGTGACTACCACAATAGCTAGGTGGGCAAGATTTACACC